GACCTGGTGAAAAATCTGCAATCTGAGAAAAAAAAAAAAAAAAGGAATGAAGGATTCTCTCTTGCCATGTATCTCTTGTAAGTGAGCAAGAAAAATAACCAGAATTAATTTAACCCTCCCATGATTGACCAAGACAGAATTTCTCCTAACAATATCAATACAATATCAAGCAGACAGGGGATGAGAATAAAGACAAATATCAATTGAGGGATTATCAGTTGATCCAATACAAAATTCTCCAAACTAACATCAGATGACAACTATTAAAAATAGCAGAGTCAGCAAGGAGAAATACTAATGAGATCTTGTGGGTGAAAAGGTGAAAGACTTTCTCCCATAAATAAACTGTTGGTTCTCCTTCAGAAATTTGAATTCAAATCCACTTAATTATATAAATAATATCCATTTATACAATAAGTGGGAACAGCTAATTGCAAAGCTGTGCTACAGCCTGTATTGGAAGAATTACTGAGTGTATGTAGGCTCAAGTCTGACAAATCTGGGATGTCCACTGATTAAAAGCTTTCACAAAAGCAAAGTGGTCAAGGTTAGTGGCCTATGGCACCTACAGTCCTGGCAGGCTTTGTCTTAAAATTAACCACACGTGTTCAATACTGAATGGTACCTTTTATCCATTTCTGTTTTTTCCTTGATGCTTGATTTCATTTGGATTCAAACATACAAGACACTTAATCAAGTGGTTTATCATCCCAAAAGTAATAGTAAAAAAAGGAAAAAATTCATATAACATACCCTTGGATTATCAGCTAATAAACGAAGAGTCTCCTTGTCCAACAGAAGAACTAATCTGACAAATGCAATTCAAATATGAGGCAAAGAAAAAGGAAAAAATTACACATGGGAGATTTGTAGCCTGCAGAGCAGGCATAATTTTGGCTAGCAAGTGCTAAGTAATTTCATAACGAATATTTTGGCTGCCATCTTTGATTTTAATGGCAGTGGAAGGAAATGAAAAAAGGAAATTTGTAACAAGGGGGCAGTTGAAAGTCAAAAACAAGGAGAGGAGTAGGGGTGGGGCAGTGAAAATCACATCTCCTTGCCCTTCTCCTACCCCCTACTTCCACTGTCCACTCTAACTCCAAATCAAACATGGCTGGTCAGATAAACAATTACGAGCTTATAAAATTAGCTTGTTGTTATAAGACGCCTGTGCTGCTGGCAATGAGATCTGTTGAGGCAGAGTGGTTAGGATGTTGGACTTGTAGTCTGGTGATCCTGGGTTCAGGCTCTCTCTGGCTCTTTACAATGTTTGTTTCAATTTGTTTGCATTGGCCTTAAGAAGGCCCATCAGGAGACTGGTCAAATAATGATATAATTATTAGTATAAGTATTATAATTATTACAATTATTGAGATTTCAAGATGGTGAAAAGAATTATGTCATAAAGGAAGTCTAACTCACCTCTTAATCTCTTCCAGCACTGTGACAGCAAAGTAAGTGGAATTATGAATTGAATCCAGAATATTTGGATCATCTGACTTATTACCTAATGGAGGTAAAATTTAATGATTAGTCAATTAGTCCCCAATAAAAGTAAAATTCAAGCAACATTTTCTATATTTTTCTTGTTACACAAAACAGTTTGTCCCGGTCTCCAGAAAGGATGATCAGAAAAGGTAAAACTTATCATTATACCCAAGGGAAGAAAAGGGGGGGGGAGGGGGAGGGGCAGGGTACTTGGGTGAATTTTTGCTGGGTATGTGCCATTGGCCTCTCAGAACCCATATCTCATTGCAGCCTTTTCTGTGGCCAATTATAGACCCCATATTAGAAAATTTTGGGCAAATGTTATTTTTGTGATCCCAAAAAATCAGTTTCTGATTATGCATCTACCTCTTTTTACATCCTTACTTACAAGAATTTTCTTTTACCTCAAATCCCAAAAATGTATGACCCCATTCTAGTAACAGCATTGAAAATGCAACCCCCCAAATAGTAATCCAGTCATGAAAATGCAACTTCATCCAGCAGCACATCCCCATTGGCTAAATACATCCCTTTACCCCTGGAAAAATGTCATCAACTAAAAATTGACCACCCTCTACAATTTTAAAAATCTTTTTTCCACCCCTTCCAGGGATAGGATAGCCCTAACAAAGTGCCATGACAGCAAACCAATTTGAACTATTTCTTGCAACAGAAATCTTAAGCCTTGAAATCATCTTCACAGGAGAAAACTCAAATTTCAAATTGGGTTCATGGACATCACATTTACAATGCTGTATTATTTTTTAACAATGTTGTTACCATTAATTTCTTCTTGCCTTGATTCATGAGCAATGCCTCTTGCAGTCAACAGCTGTACCACAAAATAAATTTCTGCTGTAACATTAGGAACCAGGTTTTCTTCATCATGAAAAAAGCAAAAATTGTAGGTTAGCAATGTCTCTGGCATAAGTGTGATCATGGTTTGATTTTTGAGAATCAAAACACCAGGCCCTAGTAGTAAATTTTTATAAATTTATTCACTGAATAAGCTCATCCAGTCAATAAAACGAGAATTCTTGGGATAGCTATCCAGCAGATTAAAAGTTTCAGAAAGTGCAGACCGTGTGATGTACATGTTTAGTACATACTTTAATGAGCGGATGGCATTGAAGGTACTCAAACTCTGAATATCCTTTGTTATTCACCTGCAAGCAACTCAGGTGGGAATTGTGCCTGATAATATTGTTATCATTGCAGGAATAAATGAGTGAAAATCATCTAAATGCAGGCAGTTGACTCTTAAGAGATTTTTTACAAACAATATAATCTACAAACAAACATCTTTTTAACATGTACACAGAACTTAACAAATATTTACACTGTTGACCTCACTATGGGTAAATTCTTATACTAGATAGCAAGTTGACACCCCCATCCATCCTTCCAACAACCAAAATGGATTAAATTTATCCAATGGATAGAAACTTTACCAGCAGTTAAGAAATCAATCATTAGATGAACAACCAAGCCATATGGAGGACATTTCTATGTACAAAATTGAAAAGATTCAAACTTACCTGTTATACATCTTGAATAAATTTTAGCAAGAGCATCCAGTTTAATGTGAAAAATAACTTTGTCCTTCACAGCTTGTACTGGTTGAATTTCTTCTATACAACTTTGTTTCTCAGACTGTTCACAACTTCCAGGGTCTGCAGTCAGGATATCAGAAGCTTCACTTGCATCAGGGCTCTTGTAAGGTGAAGGTGTTGAAATCAAACTTTCATCTGGTTTTGATTTGTTCTTTTGCCATGCATCAGGCACTGCAGTTGGGTGTTTTGGTGGAGTTATGATGAAATCTCCTAAGACATGAGACGGAGGGGATCTAATCCCAGTTTGGGGACTGGGGCTAGTTCTATATCCCCAAGGGGAATCCCCCTTATTCTTTCTTTTAGATTTCATAATTTTTAACAAGTCCCTTTCTTCTTGTAAAGATGCTGGACTTCCATGGCCATCCAGCATGGAATGCGAGCTAGAAAATGGTGATGATGCAAACGCTGGTGAAGATTTTCCCTTTTTACCATCACCTTTGACCTGTGTTGGTGTGATTCTTCGTGATGGTGTTACTTTTTTGCTGTTGACACAAAAACATCATTCAATATTGGGATAAGTAGCAAGTCCCTGAGAGAAAATAATACAATCAAAGTTTGAACCCATTGACTCCTAAAAGGGCCTACAGTTGAAGCATCTAATTTCTCCTTACAATATCACCCCTGAATCACTCATCAAGGTCATGAGAATAAAGGAAATGATCACCAACTAAAGAAGCTCTTGATTGTAACAAGTTCTCCTTGTCAGCACCATAGGAAATTTATAAAGTACAGTGAGGAGATCAAACAAACTGATATTGGCAAGTAAAGGATTAATATTGATTGTACACTGAATCACCTGGTGGATTTCATGGGAGGAAAATCATTGGGATCATTGATATTTAACTTCGGCTGTGTAACCAGTGGTGAAATTCTCTCATTTCCTGGCACTTTAGGAGACTTTCTCTTGAAATTTGGCGATGAAGAGGGTGTATCTCTTCGACTTTGTGACAACGGAGTAACAGGGGATGGAGAAGGGGTCTTTTGTGAAGGAAATACATTCCCCCTAGAGGAGCCCTTTGCCACATGAAGAGCTTTTTCTGGTGCACCTTTGCCATGGGATACTGATGTCTTCTTGGGTGTCAGAGCAGCACTTTGTCGTGGGGTTAAGTGATGCAAGGTTTTTTCTCTAAGGTAGTTGAGAAGGAAGGGGACCAGCTCTCCAATATTGTGCTGTTTTAACTTCTCTTTTTCACCCTTGACATGTGGATCAAATAGAAAATAAAAAAAAAAGCTTAAATGTCTCAGAACATTTTGTATCTTGTCCTGGACAATTCTCACACCCCAAACTAAACAATAATTATGGTGGCTATCCCAGAATCCATTCACTAAAGCAGGCAACTGCATCAAAATGCTTGCTGCATTGGATCAATGACAGTTTTGTAGATAGGCAACTACACCACTCTCCTCTCCATTAGTAACTGTTATGCTCTGATAAGCCTCCATCTCAATGATGCCCCTATATTCAATATGGCCTTCATCTAGAACTTTAGGTTTCCACTGAGCCCCTCTCTGCTCTCCCCCCCCCTTCCCTCCTCTTAGTTAGGCCCTTATCCTTCCACCTGTCTTAAATCAAAACTGATTTTTTGTTCATTGTTTGGGAGTTAACAATGCGCTAGAAAGTTTGCTTGTATATTTGAAAGCCTGTATAACTTCTTGTTCTTTATAAAATAGGTTTTCAACCAGTTGTATGCATACTGTATACAGCCATCATCAAATCTAGGTGAGAATCGAGAAAAAAATAATAGTTACCCTAAAACTAACCCATTTCAGACCTCAATAAGTTGTAATCAGCGCCGCCGCCCCGTTCCCCCCAACCCACGTTTAGCACACCCCTGGTCAAGAACTTTAAAACTTCCTTAAGTTTCCGAGGGCCAGGGGTTTCCCAGAGGGTTCAAGTCGTTATCCCAAATTAAAACTGGTGTAATAAGAATGAATTCTGATTATTCCAGTCATGGTAATTTTTTTTTCTGATTCCAAAATAATTTTCTACATGCCATCAGCTTTAATCAAAACAAATACACTGCGGACTAAGTAACCTTGCGGAAGAGAGCTCGGGACACTTGCACAAGCTGATAAAAACATCGTTGCTTTTCCACGGTACCTACATTTCGGCCACACTGTTCAGATGATAAAGCTTACCTCATTTTTAACAATCTGAAGGGGATCGGTTGAGTCATCCGATGTTATATCCCCTTTTAAAATCTTCTCCAAAATGGTGTCCATGTTGCCGCCTCCATTTCAAATGAAACGCGCTTAGTTGTCGTGCGCAAGATCCGGGAGATGGAGAGCGTAAAATTTGGCGCGAAAACCAAGCCAATAAGCAGGCTGATCATTCGTTCTATTTCAAATAACGATACCGTTGACCTTTTCATTAAGCCATATATTTCGTTGAGGGAAGAGTGACAGACAAAAAAATCGCAATTTAAGATGTCCAAAAGGGAATTTCCTTTCGATCAATCCTGTCCAATGCAGCTCAAGACTCATGTGAACACTACTGAATTTGAGAAGTCAAACAACATGGAAAACGTTTATGGTAGGTACCTGACTGATTAAAATTGTGCAAACGGCTTTAACATATAGCTTTTTAAAATCGGTTTCGATCAAAAATAATTTCTGCTTTTGAAACACTTTCAGCGAAAACACTTGAAGCTTTGCGAGAAGGAATGGAGCGATACGAGAATGGTGAAATTGAGGAAGGAATATGCAATGAAACCGTCAACTGTGATCGTTGTCGCCAAACGAAGACTGGTCGCGGTGTGAAGTGTACGTTCTGTGAACGGAACGCATGCGACGATTGCAGGCGAGAGTGTGCACACTGCGACAAGATGTTTTGTCTTTTGTGTTTGGTTGCCAAGTAAGTTGTTGCTAGTTTTGGTCTGATGTTCTTACTGGCAATGCATCTATTATTTTGAACAAATAATTACACTACAAATATCAGTTGGTTATGAACAAGTAAAAATTTGTTTATTTTGATTGACTTTGCTTAATTTTATTTTGCCTTCTTCGAGTTGATTATCAAGGACTGTTTGATCTCTTATGACATGTATGATTTACAATCTATTCCAGCGTCCATGATTTTAAAATAAGTAATCCGTTAAAAACTATTGTTCGATTCAAAGTTCAAATGTGTAACCGTACGACGGAAACAAGTAAACCATAGTTCACACTTTGAAAAACGGTTTCAAAAGCACTTTACCCGGATAGGTTTGTTAACTGTGCATTATAAGAAACCCTGTGGTTATGAAATGTTTCGTTTCCCATGACCCAACCTACGCATTTCTGGAAAAGTAAATACAGAAAAAAAAAACTGGCACACTCTTTGAACAGCAAAATTTCAATTGTTGCAATATAATGGGTCAATCAATTTGAAGAACACTGCCCATCCCTCACGCCCCCTCTCTGGGCATTTGAAATTTTAAAGATTGGTATTATACAAATTCCTGCACCCACTGGGCCAAAATTGCATTCAATTGCCTTATGTAAGCATATTTTTTATTGAATGTTTCCCTGTGTGATCAATTAATGTAATAGAATTTCTCAAAGCAATGTTTTAGGTTTTGGTGCTGGAGCAGGGGTCAAAATCAAATACCAGTGGGTTATCTGAGGGAGGGGTGGGGGGTGTTGAAGCTTTGAATTAATTTGCCCATAACTTAAATTTAAATTCTCTATTCTATTTCAAAGCAGATTATTGAGACTAAATTTTCAATGGAAAATGTTTATGCCAAATTTCTTACCAATATATTATGTTGCAAATTTTCTTATTAAGAATAAAAGCTACCAATCAAGCCTGTACATTCCAACTTATCTTAAACTCAGGTTCCTTTCATCAGTTATCACTGTTATCTTATGTTACTTTTTGTCAAATGGACTAAACCAAATTTGACAAAAAAATGACAGAAATGGGTTTATGAAACATTTTATAGCAATGGCCTTAGGTTGGTGGAGATACAGACAAGATTTTAATTTCTTTCAAAAAGTTCTGTATATTTTCCTCAGACTTTGCAAAAAGAGAATTATTGAGGCCCATTAATCAAGAATAATGATACTACCCATTGCTTTAACCCTTTAACTCCCAAGATCTGATTGTTAATTCTCCTCTCTAGCTACTACACATTTCCTTGTAAATTAGTTATGGGAACTTGGTGTGAGATCAAGATAGCAGCTTCTACCTGATAAGTTTGAATAATCTCATTACCTGTTTGCTGAAGAATGTATGGATATTATAGGGAGAAGTTTCATGTTAATTACTTCTGGGAATTAAAGGGTTAACCAAGGTTTTAATTAGAGCTTTTCCTCATAATCATAACATGAAAATGTAATTTACATTCAATATATTTTATTTTCTGTATTATTTGTACTTATTTCATTTTCATAACTTTATAATTATTTATTATTTTCAGCTATGATGAGAGGTATGAACGATATTTTTGTCTTGGAAATTTGCCTCAGAGAGAGATGCTGGAATACATCATATCTAAAAACAAAACAAAAGCTGATCTTATATGCTGAGGTACTTCATGGTAAAAACCATTGATCTTTGAAGTTGATATATTGATATACAGCTTGGCATTTGCTCTGTTATGCACTTGGTCTGATTTTGCTTGTTGAGTGTTTAAAAAAAACCACCTCCTCTCAATCATGTTCCACATTGTAATTAAAGACGCTTCTCTATGGTTTTCAGGCAAGATGGTCTTGTCTTTTTGGATAACAATCAAAAAGGGCTGTTAAGCTATACTGCACCTTCAAACTGTGAATTTCATCAAGTAATGGGAAGTTTTTTGGTCTTTGTTGAAGCAAACACTCTGTCAGTTTTGAGTTAGCTCATGACAATGAACCTTTGTTACTGTTAAACACAATAAATTTATCAAGTATGACAAGGTCTGTGCTATTTTTATTTATTATCTCATTCAAACCATGCTGTCACGTAGAGCTTCAGATTGTGAGCAGTTTTTCTATTTTCCAACACTTCAAACCACACCATCCCTTCGCTATAATATTATTTTAGGATATGTTGTGAGCTTCTGAACAATTCAACCATACCATTTCTTCCAAAAGAGATTATTTTAAGTATAGATTGTGAACAATGTTTTTCAATGCAATGGCTTCACTTTTCAATAAGATACCTTCACTTTCTGCTAAAGGGCTTTCAACAGCACTTTGTCACATGACATCCTTTGTCTTTAGACAATACCTCAGCCAGATTCCAAAATTGAATTTCTCAGAAATGAAACTTCTGACTTAAAATATACTGCCATGCAAGTTTTTCAGGGTCAAGAAAAAGACTAAGTAAAGAATAGATTAAACAAGTTATAGATACTTAGTGGGGGGGGGGGGAGTTAGAGATAATTTGCTTTAATCAAATATTTTAATAATATGAATTGGCCACCCTAGAGAGAATATAAATCTTTGTTTCTTTGTAATTTTTACTGGAGCAAAAATTTTCCTATATACATTGCAAGACTGAAACCATCCATCCTTTAATATTTACATCCTCGTTGTCTATACTTCTAGTAATTTTTTTAGTGACCATAAGTATAGGGCTAATTTTCGTGATCAAGTAGAAGTGGAAATTTTATCTAGTGGGTGAACAGTTCTCGATGTCAACAAAGGTATCAAATTTTCGAAAGAGTCGTTAAATCTCGACTTTCCGTTATTCTTTCAAATATTTTTATTCTGGCTTAATGGAAAAGGAAGTAGAGATTTCAAATGTTCGATCTTCGATCACTACTCATTTTGTAAACACTCGCCTTCTCTCTCCCTCATGGGATAAAGAAACAATACCCAAGGAACGAGGTTGATTAACCCGCAAGAATGGCAGGATAGCGAATCTAACAAGACTTTCGACCATGCCAGTGTCACGTTTATTGCTGGTCACGTATCGTAGAGAAATATGTCGAATCTTCCCCACGATTGACTGTTCCCTCCATTGCTACTAATGCACCGGAAACTGTTTTAAAGAGCGGGAAGACTGGGTACTATAGTTCTAGAAATTTCCGGAGATTAAGAGACGTTGCTGCATCAGCGACGTAGCAAATTTAGAAAATCTAGAACAATGCACCTAAATTTAGGGGAATGAGGTAACATACAGTATAAATACGACTACCCAAAACAATGATCTAGCAGTTTCATTCTAGTCAGACTGAAATCAAGCGGCCGTCCATCGATAAAAGTAAGGATAATTAAAGGAACACGTCGTCACAAACATGGACAACGAAGGATTAATTTGTGAAAACTGCAACAGACGAGTTCCCTCAGAAAATTACGAAATGCACTTCGTACACTGCAAAAGAAACCTCAAATTGTGTTCGCTGTGCGGAGAAGCGATACAAAGAAGCAGAGAGAAAGAACACTTCGAGGAAAATCATGTGGAAATAAACTGTGTTCAGTGCGGACAAAAAACAACGAGAAGTGAAGAAGACAATCATTTGGCATACGAGTGTGGAAAGCGACCAATTACTTGCCACTATTGTGAACTGAGGCTACCCAGAGAAAGAATGTCAGAGCACCAGGAATTTTGCGGATCCAGAACGGAATTCTGCCACAAGTGTAGTCGATATGTTTTGGTAAGGGACTTTATGGACCATGATAGCGCATGCGACGGGGGAATAAACAATCGGCAACACGATTTGCCTGTGTCTTTGCCTTGTGAATTCTGTGGATCGCTGATTCAGCAAGATGAACTTGATGCTCATCAACGTGAATGCCAGCGTCTAGAGGAAACAGAAGGTTCTCAAATCCCTCTCGTTGTAGAAGATAGCGATGGTGTGTTTCGTGAAATGGTACGAACGCCTGACAATTTCACAAGCTCGGACTCGTATGACAATATCGAAACCGAAAGTGAAGACAACAGCATTGTTGCTCTGCCTTGTGAAATCTGTGGCGAACTGTGTCCGTCTGATAAATTGATGGAACACCAGGAACAATGTATCCTAGAGGGAGAAGGCGTTCAGGGTTCTGGTTCACCCTCCGAAAACGAAGAACCTTTGCACAGAAGCGATCGATCTCACTTCCGGTTCTCGAGACTTCATCAGAATCCGATGGACAACGAGAGAGAAGATGACCCCTTCACTTTTGCGAATTTTACAATGGAAGGAGTCCCTTATGATCTCATGGCGAACATTTTCCGCGACCTGGAAGATCGACGATGGCCATTTGAAATGATGAGGAATATGTGGTCGTGAACTTGACCGACAAAATTGATTATGCAAGAGCTGAAATATGCAAATTTAACCCGTGTTTGTGTATCTCAGGTTCGAGTACATGTAAAATGTTTTTTTCTTGTCGTGTTTTTGAAAAAGTAAGTCAAAATAGGAAACATTGTAACTCGAACCTTTTCAATACAGCTTCTTATTCTACTTCCCTTTTAATACCGAATATTTGTATGAGGTGGGTTTCGGAGCTTCTAAAATATTAAACTGAGTACTCCTTGGTTGTATTTGAATAAACGCAGTAAAGGTCAAACCTCAACCCGTTCACTGCTTCTGTATCTAGTTACTATAGGAAGTGTTAAAGAAATAAACCCCAACATTTTTGTGATTTATAAGTTTATTTTTACATTTCACGTGCTTTGTTAATACAAACTGACTACACTGGCATTGAAACAAGTCTGCGACAACTTAAGCAATAAATAGCACCATCTATCAACTAATAAGCGTAATAACCCATTAAAGTTAAAGAACACGAGAAAAGTCTGTAAAGCCGGTAAAACAATAGTAAGTGTGGTCTATTCCATGGGTTACAATAGAATATAGGTCAATACCTTACTTATTTTGTAAAACGTAGTATTCCAGAATGAATTATTTCCAACCGAGCTACTTACTATGACAAAAGTAGACAAAAAATCTGGAGCCTAACAGACAATTTCGTTAATGGCTCCTCAAAAAAGGTGCGCATTACAACTCTTCTAATTTTGAATGACCACAAGTGCCCACATATTTCCTAACATACTCGGTAATATAGAAGGAACGAAAAATTGCATAATCCGAAGGATCGTTATCTGCAACTAAAGAGCGTGCTCACTAAAGCTAAAACTATTGAAGACTTGTTGCCAGCTAGTGTCTATTTTACTATCAAATCAGTGCACTCACTTAATCGAAAAAACAAAGTTTGTTGTCGTGGTCCCACAGGAGTGCTGTTTTATACTCAGGATAATGACTTTACGCACAGGAACGCAGGAGCTACTAAAAAATTATCTGGTGAGAGAAAGAGTAAAATTTGTTTAATATGCCACAATGCACTTTTCCAGTCTTTCATATTTCAAAAAAGTTATTCTGAGTAGCACACATATTTGGCGCGCGTGACCAAGAAGAGATTTATTTTCATTTCCAACCATAAAAGCGGTTTTGAATTGAGAGGCATTCCCGCGTCCGCTAAAACAATGTCAGATATAAGAGAAGAAGAATATGATAAAAAGTGCGATGAAAAAAAATAAAAAAGGCATTATCATACAATTGTCTTACTTTTTTACGAAAAACGCTCGTCTTGTTCTTGTGGATGTCGTCTTCTTTCGATTACACCGCCGGCATTAATATTTCCTTGTTGTTCTGTCATTTCCACAGCCCCGCTACGACGAGGAGTGGGTTCCCTGGCTGTTCCTGAGGTATTCTGATAATGAATGGTTCTGGTGGGTTCCGTAAGAGCTCCTTGATTCGCTGGTGCTTGCATGTTTCTTACCATGTGGAGGAGTTTGATAATACAGCACGTTACCACAATCATCCAGATAAAGTAAGCAGCATCAAGTGGCTCAGTCTCCATGACAGTTCAGTTCCTGCGACAAAATTGACAAAAGCCTCTAAAGAAGAGCCCGGCAAGGAAATTAAATGTTTTTTTTAGTAAAAAGTAGAACTTACTTATTCACTAACTCTCTCTCCTTCAGATACACGAGGTTTTTGTGTTTATAGGCAAAGGCCGAGTCAGTTATGGTAGTTTCGTTTTCATTAAATGATGAGGTATAATTCCTGTATGATTCTCCATCCTTGAATGAGCAATTACACCATGTAAATCTCAAATTAAACCATTGAAAATTATGATAACCATTAATTATTCCACGTGGGCTTCATGAACTGACGACTATATCGAAGCATTACAGATGGCAATTACGAAATAGAAGAATTTAGATCTGCGATTTCCTCGTTTGATGCTCATCAACGTGAATGCCAGCAACTAGAGGAAACAGAAGATTCTCAAATCCCTCTCGTTCTTGAAGATATCGATAGTGTGTTTCGTGAAATGGTACGAACGCCTGACTATTTCACAAGCTCGGACTCACATGATGATATCGAAACAAAAAGTGAGGACAACAGTATTGTTGCTCTGCCTTGTGAAATCTTATGGCAAACATTTTCCTCGACCTGGAAGATCGACGATGGCCATTTGAAATGATGAGGAATATGTGGTCGTGAACTTGACTGACAAAACTTTTAATGCAATAGCTGAAATATGCGAATTTAACCTGTGTTCAGGTGTATCATAAGTTCGAGCAAGGTTTTTTTTTCTTACCGTGTTTTAAAAAAGTTATTCAAGATAGAAAACATTGTAACTCCAACCTTTTCAATACAGCTATTTATTCTACTTCCCTTTTAAAACCTCCATTTTTTTGAGGTAGGTTTAGGAGGTTCTAAAATATTAAACTGACTACTATTGCTTGGTTCAGTGTTTGAATAAACGCGGTAGAGGTCAAGCCTTAACGTGGTCACCACTTCCGTGTCTGTAGTTACTGTAAGAGGCGTTAACGAAATAAACTCCCGCAGGCATAATCAACTTTTTTTCGATTTATAAGTTTATTTTTACCTTTAAGGTGCTTAGTTAACACAATTTAAATATATTGGCCTTAAAACAACTCTACGACAACTTAAGCAATGAAC